GGAAGCAGGACGCTTTGATGCAGAATTTCGGAGAGATTTTCTCGGCTCCTCTTCAACTACTGCTTCGGAAGCAGGACGCTTTGATGCAGAATTCCGCAGAGATTTTCTCCGGGTTAAGATTAAAGGCTCACAGTAATCGTCAGAGTCGTCATCACCATCACCACCACCACGAGAAGGAGAAGAGAAATCTAGCCGCTTAGTAGTCGACATTTGGTAATTGCTACATAAAAACCTCACAAAATCTACATCAACTAGAACATGCAGAGAAAACCCTAAATCACGGAAATCAAAAATCGAAACCCGAGAGAGAAAAAAAAACAACCTTGTTCTCAAATAGCAGAAAACGGATTCGATCGAGCTCAGATCTTAACCCCTAATCGATCGTCAGTTTTTTTTTTGTTTTCTCCAAACTGTTTGCTGCTGAAGATATTTTCTCTGGATCATCTCTCTCCATTTAAAGAGGGTAAATGCCTCAAAAGAATTGCAAAGCAAACCCTCCGAACAGTCCAGAGGGTCTTGGCAGGAGAAAATCCAATCTTGAATCAACAAAATTACACTAAAACCAGGCGAAAGTAACGAAATTACAGACCCAGCCATTGAATATCCACCCGATTCGTGATCCAATCTGGGTCAAATTCAGACCTTTCTCCGGGAGAATCTGCTTCTTCTCCGCCATCATCTTCGCCGTCTCCTTCTCCGACAGGTTTGGAGCTTGGTCTCTTGTGTGTGTTGAGAAATTGATTTCTCTCAACAAATGGCATCGCGAACTGGAAGAAGATGTTGCGAGATGAGTGATGTCGAGGGCAAAGAAATGAGAGGATTGAAGGCTGTCCTTGGTAGAAGACGCTGAAGTTGGAGGAGAAAAGATTCACAGTGTAAGATCCAATCGGATCAAATGGTGAATATGTAAGTTATTTTCTCCATTGGCTCGAGAGAGAGTTATGCGAGGTCTGGTTTAAGAGATTCGTAGGTGAAGATGTTGAAATCACGACAAGGTTAAATCCATAGACTCGGATATACAATGACGTTTTTTCATGATCTGCCATTTATACCTCATCTCAAGGTCTTAAAATCAGAATCATCTCATAAATTCGCAAGAATCAAATCTTGTCTGAGTCCGCTGCAATCACAAGATAAATATGTGATGATAGATTGTTGTTTTTGGTTGCTCTTGGTCTCTGCATCTTCAAGAATCAAATCATGCTTTCATTGTCAGGCTTCTTTACTTGTTTGATCCAGATGATCCTAGAGAATGAGAGTGTTTGAAGACGGTTGACCCGTGAATAATCTAAGGATTAGAGTTTGCATATTTGGTACAACAAAGTTTAGTCAAGGTCTTTGTACATGCACTATATGAATGCACCAAAGCTGTGATACAGCTCATGGTACTCTTCACTTCCAAACTGTAGAAAATGGAATTCGATATAGCTTCAACCACTTACATAACAAGAAAATATCACATTGTTAGGATCCGGTGAAAAGAAAAACATTGCCCCAAAGTTTTCATGTAG